GGATGTTTCGTTATTATTTGCGTTCATTAAGGAAGAGGCAACGAGAGTTTTCTTTCACTTTGTTTCGCAACGATAAGTCGAAAAACGAGCAATTTCACGCTAAAATTTGCTAAAAAGCGAAATTAATCTTCCAAAATAATATTTCCTAATTTGTAGAGAAGTCCTTTTCAGTATTATATTGTTAAGATATCATCCTTTCCCGAGATTTGTTTGCATTTGGAGAATCTAAGAATCTGCTATTTCAAGGCATCATTCGTGCAAATTTACTCTGATAGAATAAAAATTCAACAGAACATTCTGTATAAGTAATAAAAGTAACTTGATAGTGGAAAACCTGAAAATTCTGACAGTCCGATAAAAACTTTCTCAATTCGGATGAATTCCTCATTTGATCCAAGTCGATCCATCAGTGATTCACGAAACTATCGACTGAACTTCGTCTCCTTCTGTTCAAATTTTGATCTTATACCAAGATGTTTATAGAAATAAAAACATTAGCCAGCCACGCGAGTATTCTGACGCGTTAAAATCTTCAAATTCCCTCCCCCAGTTGAAAACCTCTGCTTCAGAATGACCACTTGAGACTAGATGTTGATCGGAGAAAAAACATAACGATCCCATAACGATCACCATCGTCCGAACAAATAAAATCACTGTCGCTATTACTTTCACCGCCGCGGATTACGCCATTACCACGGAGGACTCGTCTCGCCACGGTGTATCGCGTCTAATTATTATCGTGTTACAAGCACGGTAATTAACGTAAACGTTGAACAGCCACGTTGAAGCGGTAGTAAACGGCCAGACGTTTTCACGGTTCTGTAAGTCGTGGCCGAGGTTCTTAACACTTTTGTTTCACCAGCTCCGGTAATATATCCACGCTGAGGTCGAGAGTGACAAATTATCTGGTGGCGACTTCCTAGACGTTATCTCGGGTTGAAACGAGATGCCGATCTCGGGACACCAAGTCTGGAGACACGGCCTTTCTACATTGGCTCTGTCGTCGGGACAGAGAGCGTGAAAGATGAGAGAAAATCTAATTAGTCGGCTAAATTTCGAATTCACGCTGAAAATTTACGGCGTCGAGTTTTTATATATCAAACGGGATCGCTGCTTTCCACAGTCGTTTTTTTTTTTTATTTCTTTTATTATTATTTTTTTTTTTTTTTTTTTGACACTGGATTCTGATTTATGCGACGTTTCATTCATTACACGGATTGCCGCACGTGCATGAAAGACTAATTTGAGAGAGAATAAATGCTCTCTAATCTCCGTAGGCAAAATTAATTAATCCTAGGAAAACTAAGTCTCAGTGCTCAGCCAAATTTATTGTACTTTGATATTGGAAGGCATCTTTTTAAATACAAATATCTTAAAAGTATTTTAAAAGGCACTTTCGAAATTACGAAATTTTAAATTTATGTTCATTAAACCACGAGCATTGAGGTACTTTTTGAAATGACGTTCTATACTCGATGGGCTCGAGGAACCTCGCCCTTTTTTTTTCTGAATTAAAATTCGATGTTAGTCATTTATTTTAATTACGTATAATTACGAGTGATAGTATCTACGTACCGCGACTCTCGATAATAATCTGGCCGTGATAAATCGAAATACAATCTTTCCGAGATAAAAAGTAACGATAAGGAAAACGCAGCGTGAAATTTAAAAGAAGGAGAAGAAAAAAGAACAGAAGGAATAATACGTCGGTATCGAGCACACGTGGCAATTTGCAAATCACCATCGTGAATGAATTTCAATACATAATTCCAGTTCGCCGTTCGTTGCATTACGATTTACTCAAGATCTCGACAATGAGAACGTGCTCGCGATAATAGTAAAATATCATTTCTTTCATTTTCTCTCTCTCTCTCTCGAACGTTGTCGAAGGAATCTTCACTGAAAATCGGTGAGAACGTCAAATCGGGATTGTTTATATATGGACGATAGTTGTTGAATTAATCGATACGTGCCTTTGTAATTAACTCACGACCGATTGATCGATAGCAGCCTCATCGATGAGTGAGACCGTTTCGCAATTCGCGCCAGCAAAAGGTTAAAACGACCCTCGGTAATTACACGTTTCGCACGACCGCGTGTTACCGCGCGACTAACGCAAGCAAAGCGTGAATTATTTCTATTAAATAAATTAATACACTTCGAGTGCCGTTACCAGGATGAAGATAACTCGAAAGACGTTCCCAGCGTAGCCACAACCTTTCCTTTTCCTTTTTCTGTGTTTCTTCCTTTCCTCTGGAACGACGGCATTTTTGACATTTTGCATTACGATAACCCGCTAAACACGCGTAACTTTCCATACACGACTGTCTATGAAAATGTTAGAACAAGTACTATATTTGTTTCAAGACCATAAGTTCATACTACAAGGAATCTATGAAATTAAATGATATACTTTATACTATGAAGAATCTAAGAAGTTGATTATCCACGATAATTGCTAAATATTACTGAAAATAAAAGGTGCTCTATCAGACTCTCGAGCACCTTTTTAAGTTTCAAACATTTAAAGAAATTTATTTATTAGTTAAAGTTACGCAGACTTGGAATTCGTATTTCTTAAAATGGACAAATCAGACTAAATTTCACTTACAGTTGTACATATATTTCACGTAAAACTAACAAATTAATTAAGATTCACGAAACAACTTCTAAAACTCTTCTTCTTCGACTTGAAATTCGACGAATGTCAACATTTTCAGTCTTCTGTAACTGACTGTAAGCAAAACACGAGCGGAATTGACAGAAAGAAATACAAAGGAAAAAGAAAAAGAGTAAATGGCGTACTGGCGATCGATAATTAAATGCGATCGCCGAGAGCATCGAATATTTAATTTCTCGACCGCGCGCTGCACTCGAATTACAAAATTGATACGGTGAAAGTTAGAAAGCAAGGATACGCGTAATTTTAGTTCTTCTATGCTGTTGTAAAAATATCACCAGTGAGCGAGTCATTTATGTGTCTATCGAGTGTAACTTTCCTCGAGCTACCAAATTGTCCGGTCAGCTTCGTCGGCAGGCTGCTGCCTTACCGTTACACGATTTTCTACCGCTTCATTCTCGAGATTACGATTTATAAGCACGGAACAAACCCACGTCGACCTATTTGGTTCGCGTAGAAATTTATTACCCGTTTGACCCGGCCGATCGAGACGTCTCGTTGCGGATTGATTCTACTTGACAACTTGTTTGCACTCTCCTCCCCTTTGCCACTCCTGTCGCTTGCTCCTTCTTTCACTCTTTCGATCTTATGTTTTCACACACACACATACACACGCACAAACGCTGTACAAACGAATCAGACGTCAATCCAAATCGAATCACAACCGGAGAAATAATATTATACGATGTATACCTGTGTGCTGTACGATACAACAAATTTCACGAGATTTCTACGATAAGAGTTAGGACTCGTAGCAGCACAGAAATCAGAAAGCTGCTGGAAAATATTTTCATACTTCGAGTCAAAGGAACATACATTTTTTAAACATACGATTTTAAAATATTTCAATAATATTTCTGTCGCACAACTCTTCGTACAAATCTTTTCTAAGCTAGAACATTCAAAATACCTTAAAACACTTAAAATATTCCGATAAAACGGTATCAAGGTGCTCGTTAAGTGTCCGAAATATTTTAGGAAAGACTCCTGCATTCAGAATTAAGGCGCTAAGAAGGACGCCACGAACGCGATTATCAACCTATATTTCCCCCTCGTTCGATCGAACACCGAGCAGAATTTTTATGCACCAAAACCTAAGTATTATACGAAAATAAAAGATAAAAAAAAAAAACAAAAAAAAGAAAGAAAGAGACGCACTATGTCGTATTACAATATTTTTCAGCAACAAATTTCGAGTTGAAGCTGGCTTTCGTTTTAAACGGCGATAAACCATAGGTGTACCTCATGATCGAGCCAAGAGCGCACGATGAAGAGTTTTCAAGTTATAAGTTGACCATCATCGATTTGCCTTGTAATAACACGGCTTTGTCCGGACCCCGCGGCCCTATATTAAGCATTCCAGAGCAACGATGCAATAATGCGGGACTATCGGTGCATAGAAACGAAAACCGGGCGAGGTACGGCGAATTTAAAATATTTCGCGGAGGATATTGCTCCGATATCACGGTTATGCACCCATACAGGCACGCTCTGGCCGGGTATGAGATAATTTCACAAGATTTTGGTATTCCTTACCGACCACTCGTTAAACCCTCTTTGACCTTTCACGAGAGCCGAATATCGTACTTGTGCGGAGATTATTGCATTCCTTTTATCAACAGATATAAAATTAACTGACTGAAGGGAAATAGTTGGCGGCAAGTGGAATAAATTTATTTCTCTGGAGCAGGGAGCAAGTTTCCTCCATTTCACGAAAAATTTACTCGAGGTTTCGACAATGACTATGAGTATACTAAAGCATTGCACTCTGAACATTAAATATATTTATCAAAGTAACATGCACGATTTTACTTTTCTACGCTAAGGTAGTGAAAAAGAAAAAAATCGACCGAGACAGTAAAATTGTATACATTTTATGTCGTTGGACATTGAGGCTGAAGTATAATACATTACGTGGATTTGAAATACCACGTTACAGTCGCGCGAAATCTCACGAACGCAGCCAAAAATTAATGCTCGTTAACCACTCGTCTGCTGTTGTAAATTTAAAAATTTTAGAAATTTAAAAATTCACCTGCCGTTGTAAAGTTAAAAATTTTTCTCGTCCCCGACATTAGCTGCTTAACCTCTTGGCACGCAGTGACATCGTATACAAATATATAATGCACGTGTGTAAAGATATGAAAAAAAAATATGCTTCCACACGCTTGTATCCTATATTCTAAATCACTTCAACAAAGCCGTCACTGGTAAATTTTTGTCGCAGAAGTGATTCGTATGTCGAGAGGTTAATCGATCCTCCGACCGGTGAAAACGCACAATTCTCAACTGTGAAACGCGCGTTGCTTCTTTGTTGCAGACATGAAACCATCGGACAGGAGCGAGAAGGCGATGCTGACTGGGAACGCGCAGCCTTCGGACGTGTTCTGTTCGGTTCCAGGACGATTATCGTTACTAAGCAGCACCAGCAAGTACAAAGTTACGGTAGCCGAGGTACAAAGACGACTATCGCCACCGGAATGCTTAAACGCGAGCCTCCTCGGCGGAGTCTTACGGAGGTAAGATACTGCCATGAAACTCGCCCGATGTCTTTGCCCGTTTGCCAAGCGCCTCGTTTGCATAATACAATTTTATAAGGGGATTAGCCCCGTCTGCAGTCAGACAGTGACGCGACGTTGTTTCGCGACACGTTGCACGACGAGCGACGAAACATCGTAAAATCTCTTGGCTTCCTCTCGCTCGACGTGACTGCGACGACTCTCCATTTTATTTTCCACGACCGTTCCAAGGGCTGTTTGAATGTTTGTTTCAGTTTCGTTTTACGGTACAGGGGATTTGACATTAGCATTTTAACATCGACGATTCGAAATTGGAAATTATAATTTGAACTTTCAAGAACTGCTTATTGGAAATTACAATTTATTTAGATTCGCAACAAGTGCATTATAATATATAATCCGAGTTCTAGGATGGCAATGGAACTTTGCAATGTGGAATTTTCATTCAGAATTGATTTGGATTTGAGGACACGTGTCGAAACCACTTTTATTCCCTCTTAACAGCGATTTGTCTTTCACAACGTGATCATTAACGTTCGGGAGAACGTTTAAGGATCACGTTGTGTTTAAGGATCGGAGAATATAATGTTATAAATAATTCAGTTCCCTTTCAACTTTATAAAATTACGGAATGACGATTAGTGAAAAGTAGAATTCGATGATGTAATTCAATTGAAACAATTGGCGTGAACGTTAATTCGTAGTGGGTCAGAATTATTATTCGAAGCGTCCTTTTCAAATCTTCGCGTCTTCAGAAAGAAACTAAGCTTGAAGACGCTACGATAATGATGAAGAAAAATCAGTTCCTCGAAAACCTCGAATAATGATATCAACAACTATCTATGTTCTCCTTCAATACAAATTTGATCGTACCAAGTATTTTACAGATACCACTTAGTATCGATCAATATTTTTCTCGAAAAGCAACGATGCGACACACGAGACGGCGCTCGTTGCTGCACATTTCCGGACATTTGTCGTTCGCTGTGGAAACATCAGAAAGGATCACAGCATCGGGAGGGAACAATAGGCTGGGCAAGCGAATACAAGCGACGGAATAACCAGCGAATCGGGATACCGATCCGTTTAACCGTTAAACGAGACTTTATCTATCCGGTTAATTAATAAACGTGCGCGTTCGCTTCATTCGGCCACCACTTGCTCGAGCACGGACAGCAGTCTGATTTATGGGTTTCTCTCTTGGAAGCGGGAAGAGCCGTTCTTTATCTGATCCGCCATTTTACTCCGGCCAGAACATTATCCGTTGCGCAATGCTTTATCACCAAAGGCGTGGATAAATCACCGTGGTATCCACCGGCCGGATGTATCTCACGCACGTGAAATACGCGTGTACGTGTATACTCGGTGCGGACTCGTTCGCGGATCACGAACGAAAAAAAGAAGGAAGAAAAAGTAAAAGAAAGAAAAAAGATACGAAGAAAGAACAGATCTAACTGAGATCTAAACTCGATGCGTATAACCAGCCGTAATAAGTAATAATAGAAAGCTGTTCGCTTCTGATACGCGAGAACGTTAACGAGCGCTCGCGAGGAACGTACAGTGATACGAGTCAATGCTTACACGTTCGCGGAAATACCCGTCTGGAACACAACGTCTGGCCGTTGTGTTTAGACGAAGAGTGGTACAATTCGATCTTCGTGGGGTCTTTTGGTTATTTTCGATCGATTACGAATTTTATTTTTCGTTGCACGCATGATTTTTTGATTCGATTTTAAGTTGAAGGGCGTGAGAGTCTTCTGGAGATACGGTACGAAATAATTTCTACAAAGCATATACATATATCAGATGCAAGAGAAATTGTTACGAAAATTCAGAAGGCAAGAAGAGTTATTTAAATGAATTTCTGATACTGCAATTGAATTGATTGATAAATATTAATAAATAATTTTTGCTCAACGAAACAATAAACAGGCGATCAAATCACAATGTAATTTTCAAATGATGAGAACCGTGTGAAAATTTACACCATCTGGATATAATCATATTTGGTTCATATTTCTGAATAGTTGTTGGAAATCATATTTGTTTCTTTACAATAGGGTAAAAAAGTATGATCAACCGTAATCTTTTCTTCTCGTGAGCAAACAGAATTCTGATTACGGGGACATAACATCGATGATCGTTTCTATACCCAGATGATCGTGAGTGGATGAATAATGCTCCACAATCGCCAAAGGCGAGATATCAAATACCGCTATACTATATATTCTAAGCTTCAGCCTCAACAAAAAAATGAACCACAAAGCAGCAAACAAGAATTTCAATCGCTTAGACATCGACGATCGCGAAACCATTGCGAAACCTTCTCGACTCACGTTTGCCTTTTTTGAATTCGTGCAAACCTTCTCGATACAAAGTACTCGCGAGTGTCACGGATCATTCAGGAATCCGCGATCACCCTCGATCGAGCGAACAAAAAGAGCTGCAACGTTTTCCATCCGCCTACACGCGCGAGCACGTACATACCTAACTATCCGTGAAACGTGTTCCACGGCTGGTGATGGCATTTGAGACACTTCGAATGGCTGTGAATCTCCGTTGTGCGTTTGACAACAGATTGAAAATTCATTGAACATTGAGAGCCATAGCGATTTCGGTTTCTAAACGTGACTTGATTTTCGAACTGCCGACGTTCTTTAATTTTATTCTTTTATTTTGGAGAGTTTTCTCTAAAAGATACTTCCAATTTATATTTCTTACAAATAAAACTGAACACCCCAAATTTTTGTAATTGTTTCTCGAATCATTGACTTTCTTTAATTTTATCTTTTTATTTTATGAAATCTCTCTCCAAAAGACACTTCTAATTTGTTCTAATTCTTTAAAAATGAAATTAAATTACCTTAAATTTTTGTAATATAGTACAAATTATTGGTCTTCAGGCCTACGATGCTTGAGGAAATAAAACTCTCGAAATCTTGACGAGACTTTAAGTCTTGGAACACCGAGAATCCTATTTTCTGAGACTTTAGCTCAAGTCTCGTCAGGATTTTTGATAGTCAATGAAATATTTCATTTTTCGTCAGAGAGGGGACCGGCAATTTGAAAAGAGATCGCGAACGCAGAATTTTCCGAACTCTTCCGTAAAAGTCGATCGTAGACCTTAATTCGTGCAGGTAGAGAACGCGCGGCGGAGGCAAGAGGATCGGCCACGAGGGAAGCGGACACGAGGGACAAAAGAAAGAAAGGCAGACGGGCACGGTAGAAATCTATAGTGGCGAGAGAAGCAGGCGCGTGTAATTATCAGTCAGATCGCTATTCGAATGGATGAATTATATCGTCGCGGTCTGCGGTGCGCATCGTGCGCAATGCTGCCAGCCCCGGGGGCTGCTCGTACAATCAGGAATTGACACTCGGAGCTATGCAATTATTAATGTCTCATTTGCATCGGGAATAGATCGGCCGCTTTATTGGCAGTTTATTCATCGGTCTCCTTTTTTCCCCTCCCCCGTCCCTGTCTATCCGGTTCGCACGCTCGTGGAATTCGCCGCGATTTCATCCTAACCGCGAGAAATCGTGGACAGCGATGGAATTTTAGACACCTTATATATATATATATATATATATATGTATGTATATAACTATATAATTATATATATAAACCTTATAATACCCTTGTAATAACTATATATATAACCTTATAATAAACCTTATATATATAACTATATAACTATATATATAATATATATAACTATATATATATATGTGTGTGTGTATGTGTTATTATATATTATTTATAATATATAATATATAAGTGTGTGTTTGTTTGTGTATGTGTTATTATTTATTATTTATATCGTTAACGATTTCAGAACGAGATTGACAGTTTTTACGATTCGTTTATGATTCTTTTCGATTGGAAGTTAGACTTCGAAACTTAGGGTGCTACTGAAGTTCTGTTAAATGCGTAGAAAGTATGTGAATATCGGTAATTTCTAGATTGTGGATTCTTAAGTGTTTATAGGAAATTTGGGGATACAAAAGTGTACTACTTTGAAGCATGGTCCTACAAATTTTATCTTCTTCTTCTCTTTTTTTTCCGCCGTTTCTCCTTCTCCTATTCTTTCTATTTCTTATATAATTATTAGCTAAGAAGAATTACAATGTGCTCGAAACATAAAAAAATAACAACTATTAACAGAGAATATTAAGACAATTAGAATGGATGGACTATGAATATTTGTCTATTTTTGAGAAATTTAAAATTACAAAAATCTATAAAATGTATAACGTATAACACATAAAACATTCAAGGAAAGAAAGTTCTATTTGAATACCATTGAAAAATATAAAATATAGAAACTGTTGTCATTTATATATATCGAGTGCCTGTATCAATTCCAAGGAACGAAGATACCTACGTTTCCCCCATAAAAACAATTCTTTCCTGCAATTAATCATTTTTATTCTACTCTTTCACTCCAGGACAAATCCGAGAACGAAGGATTCTTTGATTTATCAACAGCACTTGGCACTTGGTAGATTTTAACGATTAACGACGCCAGTCGTCGAGGACGTCTTGAGTAATCAGGGTGTCCTGGAGTTCATGTCGGGGGGAGAGAATCGAGTGGAGAAGGGCGCGAAGAAGACGGCAGAAATCTCGGGGAGAGATCCGCCTCCCCGACAGAAGAAGAGCGAGACTCGTTCTCAGTGAACAAGACTGTGTAATGAGTGCAGAATTGCTCTCGTCACGTACAAAGGAATCACTGTACCAGCCTCGATAATAAATATATATGGGGATGCCCTATCGTTTAACGCGAGTTTCACGAACCCTGACGAAGTCGAACAGTGACGGGGCTTGAGACACAAAATTCGAACACGCCGAATGAAAGTTTTTTCAACATCTCGAATGTTTTGAAAGTCACGATTGTCTTGAATGTTGTGACAAGGTTCGATAGGCACGATGAACGAATTTTCCGAACACTTTCTTTAACATCAGAGTGATCGAAAAGCGTGAAAATGAACTGAACATTCGTCGAAAACTCTATCGAGACAAGCGAGATTTTCGGGAGTCTAAAAAATTTCCAAGGTCGAATTAACCACTTGCCGACCGGCAACTGATTGCGGACCATAACGAGTGACCAAATCGTATACAATAATTCGTCGCCTTCTTTTTGAACTCGTCGATATATCACTGGATAGAAATGATTGAGATGTAATAAATTTATTATTTGCCTTGCCCAGGTTATACTCAAATATACTTAAAACTGAGAAAATATTGCAATTTTGGGACAAAGAATTCTCGACGTGCATAGCACGTCATTCCAACGCAAGAGGTTAAGACCGAGAATCTATTACGACATTCAAGAGTTTCAAGCTTCGAATTATGCACAATACAAATACATAATGCAGATTCGGAGCTATTCGAAGTTAAGATCCTATAGTCACAGGCAGAATGTTTCGAAAGAACACTGCACGAGTGGACGTCGAGTTGCGTAAAGTAAAATTCTCGTCACAGTTTTACGTAGTGGCGGCAGTGGTGAAATGTCCTGATGCGATAATAATTATGCAATTTACGTCGGAATAATCGAGCGTTAATGCACGCTGACGATATACTTTTATCAGCCAGTGTTAATTGCGGCGAAGAAAATACCGTGATGTTGAAAGGACGTACACACGTAAATGTTTTTTCGAGTGGTCGCAAGAAAAAAGAGTGGAACCAACGATACCGCGTTAATGACTCTTGACACGTGACGCTTCTATTAAATTTAATGGATCTCTTTACGCAAAATGATCTCCGTTTACATAACGGTACGAAATTCTCGGTAATGAAAATTTATAAGATATTCCTGATTTTTTTCTTTTTTTTTTTGTGAAGGTTACTAATTTGCAGTGAGGAACTTAGTGTAGATTTAAATGTGGAATTCAACAAAAATTTAGTAGAGATTTGTTTAAACTTTGTCAGTGTGTTTTATGTGTAGCATCAAGATTAAAACAGCAAGAATTTCTTAAATGCTTCATTAAAAAGTTGTAAGCTGCACTTTCAGCTGTAACGTAAGCGTTAAGCTATACTCACGTACATACGTATGCGTTGTTTCACTTTATGAAATATCGTTGATATCGACGTAGCATTTAATTTACGACGGACGGGATTTTCGGCAGTGAATTGAACTGAAACTGGAACGAAATTGACATGGAACGACGTACGCTTGCCATCGTAAAGCAAAACTACGCACAAAAAGATAAAAACATGCAGCGTGTCGTAAACACTATACTGTAGACTATTCAAAAACTAAATACGATTAATTTGACAAATTTAAAAAAATAAAGAAGAATGTGTCGAACGTTGCAATCTTTTGAGAAAAGAAAATATAATTTCGTTTTCTTTGAAAAATTTGATGGAAAAATAACGTGATTCAGAAACTTGCATAAAATGAAGTTTAGTTTCACAGAAACTCGTGTATTTTGTCTTATCTTTTATCACGCTGAGAAGAAAATTTCTATATTTATATATTTCACATTTTTGTATGACGTTTTAACGAAAGCATTTACCGATCTTTTATTGCAAAGAGTTGTAATTTCATTTTTATTTATAAAACACGCTGACACGCTGAAACAAAGTTCGAACACTAAATCATTCAATGCACTGTAGAATTATAAAAAATTCAAGTAAAGAATTTAAATGAACGTTACTAACTACACGTGGTAACTAAACTTTGACGTAATCTCGACATAAATCTAAAGTACTGCAAGAAAGAAGAGCATTGATAAATCTTATCTATCAGGATCAAATGCAAACGCCAGCGACATAAAATAGAACGTTGATCACTTCACCAAATCGGGAATACAATAAACCGGGAAAATAAAAATCTCGAATCCTCCCTTTCAAACATTCCAAACCTGGCTGGTTCTACAATGAAACGTCAAAAGGTACAATGAGAAACGTTCGATCGTTTGTAAAGGCAGCGCTACGGACGAGTTTATCGTAGCCAATGAAACGATATCTGATCCCCGAAACTATAAGTGTTCACAAATTACCGGAAGAATTCCTCTGGAACGAAATTACGCCTTTAAATCAAGTTCTAGGCTATCTGGATGGAGAATACCACGCGTATAAATTTCAAATAAAATGTGATCGCATTGAAACATTGACTATCACTTGTAAATGTAAACAAAACATACAAATTAGATTGCACGAAACGTACAAATTAGATTGAATGAAAATTACAGGAAAAAGGTATAATAAGTAGAAGTTCGTTCACCTATAAGAGAAAAAGGTTATAATTTAATAAAAATCTAATTATTATAAATTTGGTAGTATTTTTGTAGAATTTTGTAACCTTCGAGTTACACAGTATTTTAGAAAGTTAAAGGTACGCGTCTATACAGTAAATGATAAATCTGATGAAATTCGTGAAAAAAGAAAATAGTGACATATCTGTTCTCTAAAATATAGAATATTTTTTTGAAATCGTTGAGTTCAATATTTTTAATACGAGCGTTCTTCGATCATTCATTTGGCTTGCCCAAATTATTTTTGAAAGAAGCTCCGATCTATTATTCGTTTCAGTGATACGAGACGAAATTTATTATGCAATGACTTAATGGTTCACTGAAATCGTGAACCTCTTGCGCTTGGAATGACGTGCCACGAATCCAGTGATATCATACCGACGTGTTCAAAAATTATTGTATACGGCGTTGGTCACTCGTTATGGTCCGCAATCAGTTGCCAGCGCAAGTGATTAAACTGTGAATTTACGTCTAATCTGGAAAACGCGTAAACAACTTTCAAGTATCTTATTAATGCCATTTAATGCCTCGTATTATCTCTCGAAAGTCAATTTTATCGCTCTTGCAATAACTGTATAATGATCACGACGAATAAGACCATTTACAAATCCCTTTATCCATTATTTAGCGATTAAATCACGCACTGTCAGGGACAAGCAACTGTCCTGGATATTTTTTCTTTTTTTGAGTGATAGTATATTTCGTAACGTAGATTCTTTCGGCAGATATATTAAAAAATGAGAAAAAGAAAAAAAGAGGAAAGAGCTGTAGCGGTAAAGTGTATTAATTGCCGAGCGAAGCGAAAGATTACCGGATGAACCGGCTACTCGAGCCGAACAAAGGTAGCCGATGTGTATAAGTACGTATTACCGTTATGTCGGTCCACGAATGACGGATGAATAGGGTGTGTTGAGAAGCGCTATCGAATTCTCCAAGATGTTCCGCGAAATACACGCGTATAACTCAAGAGCCTGTGAAAAGTTTAGGTTGCTCTTCAAGTAGAAATGCTTCGTCGCTATTTCTTTCTTTCTTTTTCTTCCCCCCCCCCCCGATATTTTCGACTTCTTTCCTTGTAAAATGTTTACCCTTTTCCGTCCGAATATTATTATTCGTGGAAACAAGAGATTGCTCTTACTGAGGGATTTCGAGTCGAGTATCGCTTTGCATATTTAGATAGACTTGTGAAAAGGAACGGATGAGAGTTATTGTGTAACGGCGCGTCCGCGTGAAGTAAAGTGTAATAAAAAGAGAATGGCTCAAGAATTATCGTGTTTTTATGTGTTGGAATCACGTATTTAATCCTGATAATTCCACCGTCTCAAAATTTCAAGAACGTTTGCAAATTTAGGGTCAAGTATCGTTTTGTGCATCTGAATAAGAATATCGTATAATCGACTGTAATATGTAATGACTCAAGTCATGTATTCGTATCCTCGCAGCATCTGAGAAGAAACGATGGGAACATCCACGTGAAGTGAAGTGTGTAACAGGATTAGCACGAGAGCTGAATGACTCAAGAAATGTCTCCTCGTATTTTTAACCGTGTGCACACAATCTTGAAGTTACTTCTCTCTCAAATTCTCGAGAACATCCTATCGTACGATTGATTCTTTTATCATCCGATCCAAGTGGTGTGTATAATACGTTGGAAGTTTTTGCGACACCGTTGAACGTGTATGCCTCTGAAAGCATCCTACTCGACGATCGACTTACAAAGTCAAGTTACTCGATCTACGGATGACACGCTACAGATTATGCTAATTTTCTCGTTTTTCTGTCTACTTCTCTCCTTCCTTCCGGTTAGCTCGTCGTTGATTTCCTTTTTCTTCCTTCAGTGATCGCGGCAGAGATGATTAATAGGGCAATTCCATTTCGAAATTTCTGCGCTCTTCAGTTCGAAGAGCCTTCGTGTTCGAACACGTTTTGATACCGTGCAATGTTACATTTGAGAATGAACAAGGAATTTGTATGAATGAGTCGCGTGAATGCAGGAATATTTGTAACGTGTAACACGTGAAGCTGAGTAATTATTGAGAAATATTTCGCTGATAGATTGCAACAACTTTTTCACTGATAGATTTATTTTTCCTTGGCGTGTCATTTTGTCTCTCTTTGTAATCTAAAATATTGGGATACGCAGCGAATGCGTCTTATGTTTAGAAAATGAAGCGAAGATAAAAGATCATTGCAAATAATTCTTAACAAATATGTACGCGTAGCTTTTCTTCTAGTAAATCTATTTTTCTATGGTAATTTAAAATAGGTAGTGAACGATACTTTTTATGTTCAAAAAATAAAAAAAAAAAAAAATACAAGGTTATTGCAAATAATTGTACCAATATTATATTATATATCAGATGTCCTATCATAATACTTATTGACAGTTTGTCTTTTAATCACGTTTTTTAGAGCGAAGTCCAAAAACGGCGGACGTCTGCTTAGAGAAAAGTTGGAAAAAATTGGACTAAACTTGCCAGCAGGAAGAAGGAAGGCCGCCAATGTCACGCTCTTGACATCCTTAGTGGAAGGTGAGTTGAACCACTTGTTGAACCTTCATCTCTTATAATTAAAGTAGGAATGAATTATTCTGATTAATCGCGTAAAAATTATCAACTCTGGTTGACATAAACGTTTGCGTTCTTTTTTCCTTTGATATCCAATACGAATTACTTATACGAGAAGGTTAAGAATTCAAACGTGTAAATCATAAGGTTCAATTATTTTAATTTATGCCAAGCATAAAGCATGTATCAAAGGCGGGAGAATATTTGCATCTGCATAAATAAGGCGCGATACGTGTTATGTTAATATCAACATTAATTGACATTAAATTGACTGAAAATCGCTAACGAGGATAAAAGTACAAGTACATTAATTATACAAAGTGTCGACTATGAGAACGCGTTTATTATACAGTTATATTGAATGTGAAATCAATTGTCTCCTTCCGTATTCCAATTAAAATTCTTTTCCAAAACGAGTAAAAGGAGTTCCCGAAACACGAATATCTCAGAGTATTACGATTTCGAACTATCGTTGCAAGTCGTAATCGTCGTGATATACTAAACTATAATCCCCAGTGTCGGATATATAATTGATAGACTGTGGATCGATGGGCAACATAAATGTACAAAGATGTACAGAATGCTCAAAGCAAAATTTTATAGTATTTGAGAGTGAAAGAAATCTCACGAAAATATTCGAACGTTTATTATATGTAGAAGAACTTTCGTGTAGATACATGCTGTATGAAATATTTTGAAATTTCATTAATCACTATAATTATAATGATATCAGTAAAGTTTGTGAGTAGATGCTAAGAAATTTGTTGACGATGGTTTCATTGAACAATAAGGATCATTGATACAGTGTAATTCTAACTCTTTGTGATCTCTACAAAAAAAAATATACCTTCATCAACTATAATAATGGCAGTCAGTTCTCATTACGGTATTACTGAGATGTGAGACTGTTTTACATGGTACACGTAAGAAACTCGTTAAAAAAAAGTTCTTACAAGTTCCCCGATACTTCATTGGACGATTATAAATTCTATTCCTATGGAGGCGTTCATAAAAATCGAGAATCTGCATAAATATCTACCAATCTAATTACCAGCGTGCGTCGTGCACGTCCCAAGCTGTTTATTTCAAATCGACGAGCTGTAGCCCGTCGAACAATAAATTTCTGTTTCATTAACTGTCACGGCGGAATTTCGCTATGGAGGAGCAAGAGAATGAGGCATGTGCAGCTTCTCTTAATAACATACAAACCACAGAATCAATTCTATGAAGTCGCCGGGACCCTATCCCGTTCACCGATCTAATTAACTGTCTGACAACGTAGCAACGAGTTTTCAAACTCGTTTCGTCGGACGCTTAGGATCTTCGTTTCGAAGACGGAAGTTAATCTCGAAGATACCCCGCTCGAACAGTCGCCGTGTGTTCTATACTTCGACCGGTATTCTTTCTCCCACCCCCCTCCCCCTTCTCTCTCTTTTTCTTTTTTCGCCTCTTCGTTCGACGCGTCATGCAGATGTGTAACGTACGAGGAAGAACATAACGATCAATCGATTATATTTGCCGTTATCGATACCTATTTGAATAACTGGAGTAAATATATAGGAAACGATATCGTCGAGCAAAATCTAATTAGGTGTATGTGTGTTACATAACACGTGACACCGTAGACCCGTAACACTGTCGAGGGATACAGCCACTTAATTGGAACTCGTTCTTCGTTCCTTTCACGGTCTATGAATCGATCGGCCAGAACGTCGAACGCGCCGGCGTTTCTTAATTCTTACTCACGCGTTTCGTATACGTTTTATCGACTTCGATATTTCGCGCCAACTCTCTCCCTATGATATAACTAGTAGATCGAACTCGGATTTATCAATCGCGAGGCGAGATTTGTTTGTTCAAAACGCGTGTAACTTACACGCCCGCTTTGAAAGTTTGGAGCACGCCGGGACGTAAATATAAACGTTTTATTTGTGACGTGAATATTTTCAGGTATCGAAACTGTAATATTAACAAGTTGAACTAGATTATACCGAGATTAAAATATGTATAAAATTTGCCTCGGAGAAATGAGAGATAAATGGGAGAGAAGTTTATAATGCAATAAAAGGACACGAGTTTCTGTTTGTGAAATTCATTGAAAATTAATCAGAGACGCACCGTTTTAAAACTGAAAATTGGTAATTTTGACCATTCTGCTAGGTTTGACGTTAATTATAACTGCAATATTATCTTCGGTTTAAAAAGAAAATAGTTATTTATGAAATTCATTGAAAATCGGAAATACACTATTTTAAAACTGGAAATTGATAAGTCTGACCATTTTAGTTTTGACGTTAATTATAACTGCAATATTATCTTCAGTTTAAAAAGAAAATAGTTATTTATGAAATTCATTGAAAATTAATCAGAAACGCACCGTTTTAAAACTGAAAATTGGTAATTTTGACCATTCTGCTAGTTTTGACGTTAATTATAACTGCAATATTATCTTCGGTTTAAAAAGAAAATAGTTATTTATGAAATTCATTGAAAATTAATCAGAAACGCATCGTTTTAAAACTGAAAATTGGTAATTTTGACCATTCTGCTAGGTTTGACGTTAATTATAACTGCAATATTATCTTCGGTTTAAAAAGAAAATAGTTATTTATATGAAATTCATTGAAAATCGGAAACACTATTTTAAAACTGGAAATTGGTAATTTTGACCATTTTAGTTTTGACGTTAATTATAACTGCAATATTATCTTCGTTTAGATAAAGAAAATAGCGCTCCAAACTTCCAAGCGAAAAATGCAAGTCTGCTAAGGATGAATATCAAATTAGAATTTGTGAGTCGGAAAATATCACGGAGGAGAGGAAAACGTTCCGTTACGATGGTCATAATCGTAAATAATCCAGCCAATCCGAGGTGTGCCAGGCTATCGTAAAATTTTGAAATGCCCACGGCCGAAAGTTATATTCATTGAGTGATATAATATTTCGAAATAACCACGTGCGTCTAACAGGTACGTGTGCTTGTGTGTGTGTGTGTGATAGCCGTTGAAAGAACCGGCGGAGTGCAGCGAAAGTGTGGGAACCTCCTCTCGAATGGAGGACGTAAACGTACCAGGTGTATGGGTATACTTTGCCCGCGTACGATTAACGTATACCCATGCGTGATTCATGCGTAAATTCGTGACGCAATCTACGGTTATACATACGACGAAAGTTTGTCTCGCTGTCGGCTCCACCTGGCGCATCCCGATCTTTCCTAACGCGTTTTATCCCATTTTTTTAACTTATCCACGTTGCGTAAGAACGATCGATTGTTCGGCGTCATTACAAGAGGAAAATTGCAATCTTCGTTTAAATAATTTTGTCACGTTTACCTGATCGGTATGAGAATAATTAAAAATGACTTGACAATTAAATATTACAAAATACGATAATTAAATATCATTTGGAATAGAAATTGCAATCTTTATTATTACAGAATTTTTGAATATCTCATTTGCGTTAATATCGCATGGAAAAATTCTGTTTACTTTCAAGTTAAATACAAATATATATGTGAGGCAGCGTAAATACGAAATCAGAACACCTCGGACATATACGTGTACCGTCTACATACTTTCCGTGCATCGATCGCAATCGAGAGAGTTTCGATACGGCGGCGAAACCGCAAGCATACTCGCAGTTATCTGGACACCGTTGTTGCAAGTACGCGGAAGAGAATCCCCCCCGCCCCCTGAAATCCTTCCCCGGGTTTCGATTATCGAGACACATTACAGTCGGAGCATAATTTGCGGTCGCTCTCAAAGATTGATTATCTCGAGTACGCCTATCGATTATTCGAACGTCCGTGAAATCGTCACCGTTTACCGTTCTTTCGCGTCGTCTTCGTGAAAATTCAATACGAGCGAAGTGTAATAAAAAAAAAATCTCGATGTAAGGAATTAATTCGATCAAATGTATCATATAAAATGCATGTAGATGCCTATAATTGCTCACGAACATATTCACATAAAGAACTTTTGTTCTTTTGTTCTTTTCACTAGAATTATGTTATTTATTGTGTTATTCACTTGAAGAAACTTTCATTGTGTTATGTATAAAACATTCTGATATTTGATATTTTTATTATAATAAGATTCAGCTATGATAATCCTATTGATTAAGTGTGAAACAAATAATGGAAACACATGTAAGAACTACAAGATATTTAGTAGGTAGCTATATATTTCAAAGAGATTATAAAATTATTTAAATATTCACAATTCATTATACTAAGCTTCAATATTCAGTTTTGGATACGTACGTAATATCTTATAAATATCTTATAATTTCTACGCACGTTTCCAGATTGATTGCAAATTTTATCAACACAATCATAATAATTGTCACTCATCAGAGTATTAGCAGCAAAATTTCAAAATGTTTGATGTAACATACATAAAAGTTCTTCTATGGTAACTTGCATGAATCGCTGTATATGACATATATGAAATACGAGAGTGCATGCTTATAATATAATCACCATCAAAATATTTAGCACAAATAACTCGAATTAACTAGTTGGTCATCACTTAATAATAACACCCACTCATGAAATGCTTCTAATTGACAATTATACCTACCAATTATCCAGATTAAACTCTAGCTATCTCCACACGTACCATTTATCTTTATACATAATTATATTCGAACTTTAATACACGTTAAACGTTTAATTTGATATTCTAAAACAGACGTAATTCCTCGGGACGTGTACTACATCTCAATTAGCATTATTCGATTACTCGTTGCTAGTTCACAATGGTAACTATCAAACTAAAACGAAGCAACACGAACAACGGGACGAGGAAGTCCCTCAATCGAATCTCACCTCGACCACATCGTAATAATCACGTTGATTTTTCTCGATCGGACGTAACGCTGGACGACGTGCATAGTAAAGTCATCAAGTAAAAAGGTTGATCGTTAATTCGCGAGTCACGTTGCTGATTCGTTCTCTCGTTCGTATTCACCGCGTGTACCAATCTGCAGCTCGCATCGCTGGCAATCACCCTCGAACAATCTGTGGTCCTCATCTGCATCGAGCGTTCCGTTCGTCGCATTCAGTTGTCCCGCTATACATCTTTATCATAGATTATCGTCTCGATCGGCTGCCTTCTTTCGAAAGAAGTTCGAGGGACAATTTCTCGAACGATCGAATCGTTAATGGATCGTACGATCACTCATCCCGACAATGGGTTTCGTTTAACTCGAACCCCAAACGGGACGGTTAAATTTTTTTATTTTCGCGTCGTTGGTACTGTCTCTGTTGATCGAATTTTTAAGAAACGATCTTTTCAAAATTTTTGTTCATGTTCAACATTTAGATGCGATTCCATTGGCGTTGTAATGAAACACGATTTTATTGGTAAAATTTGCAAATGTGTACAACAAAAATAGCGCACGAAAACGAGCTATAACAAGCTTGGAAGCTGGTTTCACTAGATATTGTCGCTTGTTCGTTCAGAATCAAATAATTTGTCATAATATCACAAATACTTCAATCTTTTTACACTTCATAAAATTACGGAAATATTAAATCAACCCTGAAATTATTTTTCTATAACCACAATATCAAAATTTTCATGTTTTAAACTGCCAATGAAATGAACACTAATCCTTAATGGAATAATATAATGAATAATTAACAGTTTCAATATAATAACAGTTTCAATATAATTGATATGATTTCTGCACTGAACGTGTAGCTGCACTAAATATCTAGTTTCTAGATACATTTCCAGATTTGTTCCAAACTTGACCAATATGATCATGATGATTCTCGTTACAGTGTCAATGTGTTCAACAAATCTTCTGACACTTTCACAAATATAGAAATTAATTTATTATCTTCATCCTGTTCTAAGAAGGTTCCATCTGTTTCAGTATAATAATACACACGGTTCGAAATCGAGAACACGGTAAACACAAAGGGCAAACCATAGAGAAGGTTTTCGTAAGAACTCTATTACCAAGTTCCATAAAAAGGAACGATCTTAACATCTCGCAACTTAATATCCCCCGTGAACCCTAATCTCACGTGTGCATACGTAAACGTGTGCGTTTCTCGGCTCAGAAACGTGACAGAAATATGAATTCAGTTAAAAGCTAATTAAAAGAAGTTATGAAACACGCGATGCTCGTATGCAAATCACCGATTGTGAAGCCGTGTCTTGGACACCGAGAACGTACTAAAAGCTAAATGAAACGACCTGTTGCACTTTGTACGTGCATCGTGCAGAAACTCGCGCGACTCGCGTTCGCGATTAGATCGTCGATGTTCGACGACACGAGTTGTTCGATTCAAGCTTCGTTCAAAGATCAATCCTTCCCAGCTTACACGCGCCTACGCTGCTGTAAAGTAGAATCTACATCGTGGTTATCGAAATGTTTCGTCGCTATTATATTAGCAATTCTTGCGGAAAAATAAACGTTGATCGAAAAATAACGTAATTGGGACCATTGCATTGATAAGTTCAACATTCGATCAGTCAATATCACGTTTATTTCATAATTATGAAATTAACTCCATGCATTTTGTATGCTTTCAAAAAGCGACTGGTAATTGGGAAAAAGGCTATAAATAGTAATGAAATTTACAATGAGAAATTCTTTGTATAGGTATTGCGCATTTTCGATATGTGTACACATTGCATATTGGAAATAGATCATTTCAAAAGTAATGTGATTTTTCTCTGAGAATTGAATTTGAAACAACTGAAATTGTTATTATTGAAATTTTATAAAATTCCAATAGAAAACTTGAACGAAAATGATTAATTGCTGATGAATATACATATATATAAATATATGTTTAGAAAATTTTATTAAAATAATGTCAAATTTATTGTTCTTGAATACATTTCTCGAAATGTAAAAAGAAAACCGATAGATGGATCGAAGGTATACATAATTTTACATTGATCTAATCAGCCGATAATTTTAAAGAGTATGATTTTGTGTAGATGTATGCTTCTTAAAAAAGTAGAAGGAAATCTCTTTGAACACTGCAGCAAGTGGGTATAATTTTTGAAATGACGTTTCACCGTGATTGAGATTGAGACAAGGCAGAAAGTATTACAAGGCATTATGTAAATTGCCATCGGTTGTGAAACGATTTTGTAAGATTTTCGACTCATTTGTTTCACGCAATTCGCGCTGTATCATTTCCAGCGAACAACGAAATATAATGCAACATTGTTTAACTACGGTGTATATAGCGTAACCACTATAATCGATAATCCTACATCGCGTTCATAATTTGTCCGCATAATGTCGTGTAAAATTGTTCCATTAAACGAATTCTAATTTACGTATAATCTCTAATTCAAGAAAATTGAAAGTATGAAAGCTACGCTCTTTGTACGATCTCATATCATAGAATTAAAAACACTTCGATAGAATTTTCGCGACTCTCGCCGGAAATAAAAATTACTCCCAGTATCTCGGAGTGAAACTGAAAATCAGTCGCAATAGCTCGGCACGGTCAAAAATTAATTTGCGATAACTCGACAGAAACGAAACTCAGTTCCAACAAAAAAAAAAAAAAAGAAAAAGACAATTCCAGTAGCTCGAGAGAATTAAAAATCAAGACTCGGCACTCGACAGGCCTGAAAATCGTCTCGCTAAAAGGCTTTCGTTGGAACGTAGCGAAAACAGCAGCGCAGAGGTAGAAAAGGGGTAACACGAAGAGGCAATTATCAGGAGCATTTTGCATACTTTTTAGCCGCGTGAAAAGGAAGAAACGCCGGAGTTCGCGAAATTGGATAATTCGTTAGCTGCAGGTGGCTCTCTCGGGCCTGTGTTCTCGATCTCGGTAGTCGAAAACCCGGCAGGCCTGCGGGTGGCTTTGCTCGGCTGTCGATAATAGCGCCCAGCGGGTCCGTTCCCATCTTGCACGAGACCCTGCTTGTACGTACCTAATTACCGAGCCATCATCGACGACGAAAGCGAAAGAGCGAGGAATACAGAGAGGCTCGAACGAGAACGCAGAGTAAAGAGAGAAATGCCGATCGACGAAGGGAATTGTTCCGAAAGGGGAGAAACGGACCACGTGCTGAAGAGAAAGCACGTATGCCGTTTCATTATCGTAAATTAGTCCGTTCCTCCGGCGGGAAGCGATCTTGTGAACGGCACGCGCGGAATGATTACGTTCAGTTTGTTTTAAGCCGAAGAATTTTAGCTCTTCGTATTCTTATTGACTTTAAGGTTGAGATAATAGGAGAATTAAACTCGTCGGCGATTAGATAGAGTGGGTAGTTTCGTGGTAATTTTTAGCACAGAGATAAATCTTTAAAAGTTTTTACAAGTGTCGAAAAGTAACTGGTTATTACACTTGTAACACATTTTTATAAACTTAATACGTGTTGCATCTTGAGACTAAATAACACAATATCTAAATTGATTATAATAATACATTAAGTCGATTTAAAAGTCATGTTGTGAGAATGCTACAAGTACTTCCTCGGACTGCAGTCATACAATATAAGAACTCGAAAACGCTTACTTGTTCTATCTCTTTCGATGCTCAATCACCCTATCTAGAAACGTGTTTGAAATGATCCATAAAGTCTGCCGCGCGTCAGAGTCGTGCAGTAAATGGATTTTAATGAAGGGAGAGATGAATAATGAAATTTGTAGGTTCCGATAAGGAAGATTTTATCTTCGATACCCGTTAAGTCGTAAACGAACGACAAAAAAAATTCGTATATATTTCCATACGACCGGTATGGTTGCGCAATCGAAATTCCCATAGCGAGGCGTTTTATATCTTGTCTTCTCTCCTTTTTCTTTTTTTTTTTTTCTGTTTTTTACAGGAGAAGCCATTCACCTTGCCAGAGACTTCGGCTATGTCTGCGAAACCGAATTCCCTGCGAAACAAGTTGCCGAATACCTCAGTCGGCAGCATTGTGAACCGCAAGATTCCTACAGGAGAAAAGAACTTCTTCATGCCACCAAGTAAGAATTTATTTCCACGTGTACGCGCGAACAATGGCGATAGACATCGAGATAATCGAGATAGCTCGAGCAGTTCAGTTCGAAATTCGTCGCGAACAGGGGAATGAAATTATATTGCCTACGTACGTACGTACGTGGCGGCGATTGCATTCGTCGAAAATCTCGAATTTACATTTCGGTTTCTTTTTTTTCAGACAAATCACCAAAGAGCTGATGGATCTTTTGAATCAAGACAGATCGCCGTTGTGCAACACACGGCCGCAGCATATCCTCGATCCAAGCATACAGAGACACCTAACGCATTTCTCTCTCATATCACACGGATTCGGAAGTCCCGCAATCGTAGCCGCTCTAACGGCAATACAGGTACCGATTGAAATTCTATTGCCCGTGTTTTAAAGTGATTGAACCTCTCAGAAGCAAACCTGACGAGCTTCTTATCAGATTTCACTACATGAGCGCAGGATTTTAAAAAAAACTAATGAAACTAATTATTTATGATAAACGAATCCATTCCGTTGTAAGATGAATAACATTCATTCGTTGTAACAAGTTGATATAAATAACATTCATTCGTTGCAAGAGGATGGCACAGAGAATAGTAAAGATCAATTTATGAATTTAACAATGAATTCATTTTCGAACATTATCACACCTTCCGATGTGGCTTTTTGAACGGTTCAAGTTCGATTATGAAATAAAACCTAAAGAATAGCATACAGATTCATTCTGTTTTTTGCAATTTCAAATATAATACATAAAAATCCTCAGTCCAATTGTAAGACAAAAGTGAAGCACATTCCGTTTTCGCTGATTCTGACACGAAAGTTGCTAGTACTCAATTTCTGTACTCAAATAATAGACTTACCAAAGACATACATAGATAAGTAACAAGATCAAGACAGAGGTATACCTAAAGACTAGACTAATCATCTCGGCTGTTGATTCATTCATTCAAATAACCGAAACTATCGATTGCAGAAGTTCCTAAGCGAGTCCCTGAATCATCTTGAGAAGATGTACCCAGGCAACGGGAGCGGTGTGACAAGTAGTCAGCAGTCGAGCCTCGACACGAATAAAAGCAAGGACGGCACGTTGATGAACGACATGAAGAAGTGACGCCCAGAGGACCCGCCTACCTCGAACGTGGTCACTTCAATCAGGCACTCCTGGCCGTACAACTGAGCTTTCGCGAGCTTCCCTGACCGCGAACAGCTTCTGGTGGACCACTGAAACGACACGTATGTCCGCGCAGCTACGAGCTCCATTGTATAATCAAAAAGAACTAACGGAAAGAAAAGAAGAGAAACGGAAAGAGTACGAACGAATGGAATGAGAGGCCTGCTCGAAGAAACATTGGCCCGACGTCCGTGCGGATATCCGTGTTCGCCGAGGTTGGCTGGTCGAAAGTGTTCTAGATCAAATTGAATGACGAGATGTCACGAGAAATGTGCAATCGTGGACCATCGGACACGATGGTTCGTCGAATGAAATCTGGTCGTGTCGAAGCGACTAGCGATGGTGGGATATAAACGAGACGCTACACTTCATTTTCCCTTTGGTTTGACGGAAAGGTCAGAGAGTCGTGGGTACTTGTGTATCGTTCCGAAGAAATCTCGAGGATCAAACGATTCGCGGATCGTGCGTCACAACGAGAATCTACTCGAGCAAAAGATAGGAATAACTACCGTTTGTTCTTTCACTGCCTGTTCGGTTTTGAAACGTGTAGGATGTGTCGAAGAACGAGAACGAAGAAACGTATCGATCGATTCGACGGGGATCTGTAATCGTGAATATAGAATTGAAGAAACTTTCATTACGTCTTCCTTCGTTTATTTTAATTAAATAAAAGACTCTCTCTCTCTCTCTCTCTCTCTCTTTCTCGCGTGCGATCATTTGCGAAACGATTCGATACTTACGCGTGTTATGATTATTTGTGATAGCCTTAGTGATAGTCCAAACGTTTGTGCAATCATTACGATTTAATCATCTACGATGATCTTTACAAAATTCGCATTTTATTGATAAATTGCAGTTTAACGAAACGATTAAAAATTGTTTCAAACCAAATGAGATATAACGTGGAACGTGTACGATTCAATCGTACAAACAAAAATGCACGAAAATTACACACAGATTTGGATTTGAATGTCTAAGCCTGCGGTCGGCTGTTACAACTCGCGAATCGATCGATAATCGAGAGCACACACGCACGCATACACAGAGTTACGATGAAACGAAGAAGCGCGATACTTCTCAATCTTTCTATTTCTCGCCGTATAATTTTTGGGTCGACTATTTATATTGCTCAAGCATCGCTATATTCTTTGCTCATTACCGAGTGTCCGACATACGCGCAGTATCGATTATAACGCTGTTACGTAAGCATTAATATTGTCAGTGTAGTGGTATATCACTCTCTAACCGTGTGCAACTTTTTAATTTAGCATTTGCGATTGTGAACCCGCCTGCGAACATTTTACTGACCATCTTCATATCGACTGGCTGAGTCTCCGTATGCAAAACTACTGTATATTCGCGATATGATTGCAATTGTTAAAGTTACAAATTTCCTCTTATAAACGTATATTTTAAGTTTTTTAATGGTTCGAGTTCGTTTCATCGCAAAAGAAAAAAAAAAAACGATTGATTTATCATACAATATATTGTATGACATAATATACATTTGAACTGAGAAACTAAAACTATAGACTCAGTCGCGAAATTTTGTTTCACATTTTTCTGCCGTTAGAATTTCAACAATTTTCGTAAAACGTATAATCTTGATCGTCTCGTACGATGTTAGACAAAGCTGGACAAAGGGAGAAGGTGAGAATTCACGCGGTGAGAACGTGTAACAGCCGTCCGAGGCTAGAAAAGTATTAACTTAGAATCGTTATCCATCGCGTTTATTTGAGTCAAACCGAGCGCGGTTTATTTAAAAAAAATACGGACACTGGGGGCTGAACGAGATCCGTTCGCCGCCAGTCGTTTATTTATCACCGGTGATCGCCGAATTAGTTATTCACGATGACAACTCAGTTTTTCGAACGATTTCCTGGTAGTCAATCAGAGAGTTACGATACGAGGTAGTTTTGTATTTAACACGAGTCAGTTTTATCTATTTCACGCTCGAACTTTTTAATCGACGATCCATTCCGATTCCATATCCACGCGACAAATGATTTTCTTCTCGACTAGCTAGTTGAAGCTGTGTACCGTGCGAACTTCGCTCCCCCCCGGGTATTTCTATTAGCAATTCGATCAGCTACACATGATTTCACTCGAGAAACTTTTTATGATCTCTCAAGCACACGACGATCGCTACTTAACGTTGCAATTCTCGGACGATGTTTCGATGCTTCGTCATTGCGCTCGATCGATCCACTTCGCGTACTTGCCAACGTAATAACACGTAACATTCATAGATTTCGTAGCGTAAATTCAGTATAATTGTCACGATGTGACGGGCAGATCGAATGTACGTACCTTGGAAAAAACTTTCAAACAACGTCGAACGATATGTTCATTCGACAATATACGTTTCAATCGACTGTTTGTTTCGAACTTGCACGTATGTATATGTATCGAGGATCGACGCTACGGCGAGTTTAACGATTTTTACTAACGAGTACACGGCAATCATCGGCAATTCAGCTACGTATTTTTGTGCTCCTTGTTATAACTTTGCCAATTTCGTTTACGAAAACGCGGACAAGGTTCGCGCGTGCACGATCGTCGGTGTCGACAAATTCAGGAAAAGAAGAGAAAAAGATGGAGAACAGAAAGTCTAAGGATCATTTTCATCGTGCCAATGCGAAAGTTGCCATTTGAAATGTGCCAATTAAGGATATCGAGATTTAGAAATATAAGAACCAGCGACTTCTAGAAGCGATTCACCGAGGATAGCCAAGATCGAACGAACGCTGACAGATCTCCGTTCGGAGTTCTTCGGGAAACGCGTTCGCGAACTCTTCGTTTCGCAGGATTTACGAACGAGGAGGATCAGACAAGAGGGAAACGATCGTTGGGTATCACGGTGTCGAAAGCATCGGAGATGTTTCGTGCAAGGAGATCGGGCGAGCAAACGCAGAAGTAGAAGCACGAGAAATTGCGTTGAAGTACAATACCAGGTGAACCTGAGACATATCTAACTTTGTAATTAAATCTTAGGCGTATGTAAATGTAAGATTAAGAAACCTGATCGAACGTCTCGCGTTCCGGGATATTATGTACAGAGTATTTGAATCTTTCTTGTGATATAATCGTAATATTACTAAGATATAAACCGATAACAAGGCAAGAACGAAAAGGAGGAAGAAAAAAAAAAAGGAACACGTAAAATTACTATTATCATTCCATGTTTTTTCATAGAAGCGAAGTAACTAGCGTGAACGTGGAGGGCGTCGAACACCGCTCCGGGTTTTTTCGTTTATAGAAGAGACGATCTTCGAGATTTGTCTCGAGGAAGCTCGCACCGGCACCGAACAGTAGACATCGGATTTTTATTGCGTCGACGAATTTCATTTTAAACGACAAATGGTAACATTCTCCCCTTACGACGTTGCGTATGCTTTAATCGCAGTTTTCTTCAGTCCAGAAATCAGAGAAAAAGTGGCAAAGGAACAAACAAAAAATTGGGGAACGTCTTCCCTCGAGTTTCGAGACCAACGTCGTGAATTTAGTTAGGACAATGGAAACGAAAAAGAAAAACAGAGAAAAAGATGTTGGGAAAAGGAGAACTGTGGTAAAATCCTTGGACCCCCTTATTTTCATTCACAAACTACTTAGGCGACTCGTTAGACTTAAGATCCCGTAAATTAATTACTTATTTATAATCCTTAGAGCGGTCGTAGAAAGACGTTTTTCTACCAGAATTTCTGTGCCAACTGCAAAGAATGTTGTAGACCATTTTTGTTCCAAGTTGATGCATCATTCTAATCTTGTAAGATACTCAGATATATCTTTATTAAATATATTTGAATTTCGTAGTATATTATATTCTGATATTGATTATACAGTTCATTTTTGTATATTGGTGTGTGATAAATAAATAAGAATATTGTTTCTAAGCAATTTACATACTCATGTTCAGTATGATGTCCTATTTAATCGTTTCAAGCGGGTTTCGACGATTGGGCGCTTTGAGTTCAGTGTTTACGCTCATAAATTCTCAGCTTTGATAACGATTTTGTAAGAGGAAATTATCAAAATTATTTCAATGATGAAAGTCCATTCGATCGTAGTAATGGTAATATAACAGCTGAGCTCAAAGCATTTAAAGTATGAAAAGTGTGCAAAAGTTTTCGTTTCGTAGTAATTTATTTCAAAGAAATTGAACATTAACATGAGAATACGAAATTGTAAGTATACAATATGTGTTTTTATACTAATCTCGGAATATGAATTTCAAATTCAAATATGTAGTACGTACATACCTATAACAGTTGAGGAGGAGAGAGAGCGCGCCAAACTGTGCAAGGTAAATTGCGTTATTTTCACTTGGCCAATCGTCTTGATACACGATGGAAAATGGTACCTTATTTGAACTTAGTCCCCAGACACTTCTATATTACGTTTAAATATTAATTAAAAACGTTTACACGGAAAAAATGACGATTAACTTCGTACGCACCGCGTTTACAGACGCCATTTTGATAATCAACTGCACATGCGTCGTCTACTGGAGAAAATTGTAACTTCTGTCCGCTGCGCGGACTATTCAAATATACACTAAGAAAATAACCACACTTGTTACTTTTACTACTCTTACAAAATAAAAATTAAATATTCACTAGGTCCTTACTTTCGATCTATTTATTTTCAATATACACTTATACTGATTATAAGATCGTAAAGTTGGATTTATATTCCTAAAATATTATAGAAATAAATTTGACAATTTGTTTTACCTTACGTTAAGACACCTTTTACCTTGTAGCTTGACCGGTTTAAATGACTTATAAGTTAATTAATATCTCTGTATAGATTTTAAATCAGACAAAAAGCAAAAAATTACATTTATCGACACCAATTAGATCTAATTGAATTGGAAGATCTAATAAAATTGCTACAAGCAGTTCGCGAACTATTTTATGTATTGTTAATTGTCTTTAATTCTACTCGTTAACAATTTACGATACCACGAAAGTACACCGAATAAATGCTGTTTTAAAATTTTGTCTACTATATAGAAAAGATCACGAACTTTGACATTAAATTTTAAAGATATTTAAAATACATATTTCAACATTCACCATACCGGTCACTGCTTAACAATGAAATATCATTTCTTCGATTGATGTAATGTGGTGCATAGTCTGTATACTCCATTGCCTGAAAGAAAGTCTTACTATCTCATAGATTTTAGCATGAAACTAACAAACAAAGCAAATCAAATTAAACATACATGCTGATAAAAATTTGATGCTTTTGTTACTGACTAAATTTTATAAAATTACTTCCTCTATTACTTATTAAATTGCCAGCAAAAAAGTAAAAACTCATCTAAGTGTCTTGAGATAATATTATGCTAGCAAATAAAATAAATAGCTATATTATTTGTGAAAATAAATATGAATTATACCTTTTGTATTACAATACTTTTAAAACTAATTCTAATATAATGTATTATTTCACAATAATGAAACTATACTCACGTAATTTCAAGGCACTTCAAACTCCGCTGAACAGAGAAATAGAAGGAGATTAAAACATTTCAACCCATGAAAACGTGTTCCCACGCAACCCTCGGTATTCTTCTATACACCTAAGAGGGATACATGAAAAGATATGTTAGAAGTAAATGCTTTAAGTACTTCAACGAAACTTCAATCAGCTTAAATTAAAAATATGTGTAACAATAGATTGACACTGCTATTTTGTATTTCACATAAGTTTATTGCTAATAAAAGTTTAAATAATATGCCAGATCAATCCAATTTAATACAATTTAAACACGTAATCGTTTGGTGTTAGTGGATATAACAAATATTTTTTAAATTTTACTTTCGCTTATATTAACGTAATTAAATATACTTAAACATTTAAGGAAGATTAATTTTATTTATTTGTTTTTGACAAAATTTCTTAACATTACTTAACATTTCGTGAGTAATTTAAAACGATATTTATTAAATGAAAATTACTAATATATTGATGAACAGACTTTTTTTTGCGGATCTCTGAAGATATTAATGTTACTGATTAGATATCTTCATCCAAGTTATAATGCTATTGATTAATTAAGATTTTGATTTAGAGCTTTCCAAATGTAGCTTATTATATAACGCCATTATATTTCTTATTTATTTCAGTTTACGAGAATTACATATAGATATGTGTAGCAGAAATAATTGCTTTAAAAACGGGAGAACTGTTTGTAAGTTACGCAAAAATTATTTTTATCTTTTTTTGTTGCACTCTTATACTGTAAGATCATAAGATTACAATTTTCTTTTTTTTTTTCTTTTTTATAACGTTGTAGTTACTGTATTCTTACAATAAGCTACATGATTTTTCACTTCATATATTTTGCACGTGTTACTATACACATACACTTCGTTAACATTTATTTATGTAATTTTAAACTTTCAACACGTCATTTTATTTAGCATTATCTTTTTCTTTTTTTTTTTTTTTTTTGTTCACGTAAATACTATACATATTAATATTAAATGAATTACGATATCATTTGCACAATTATATGCAAGTTATTTAATAGTAATTTATATACGACCATCTGCCACTGAACATCATTTACAATATTTTACTTTGTTCTATTTTAGACACATATTACTATTTATTATAACGCACACGACTGTCCGAGCTATGTATTTTCCAATGTCTAAAAAGTATCATTAGAAACAAAAACTAAAAAAAATAAAAGAAAAAAAATCATATGTATAAAAGTTGAAAACTAAAATCATTTACGTACATAGTACGAAAATGATTCGGTATATATTTTTCAATTGACCAAAAAAAAAAAGAAAAGTTGTCATACAAAATCAAATTAGAAGATCGTAAGAAGATTGATATCTAGAAAAATGTGACACAGCTCTGACATGTTCCTTTTTTTTTATTTAACGATTTTACTTGTATCGTTCCACTGATCCTCTTGGTCCTCTAGCCTTCCACACTGACGTGACATTTTTTTCAAGAAAAGGAAAGGATTTGAAGGAACGTGTTTTTTCTCTCTTTCTCCGTTTTTTAATACTTTCATAGAAAACCAGATTTTCTGCGGTCTGAATATTACATGTGATCGTTTGCAATCACAGTTTAAAATTGCAGAAATACTTTAAAAAATTTTATCAATGTATTCCGGGTCTTATCCAGTAACCACAAAACTTTCATCTGAAAAGCACATAAGCTTTACTACGCTACGATTTAGAAACATCATATTACTATTATTGGAGAAATAAAGAAAACAAGAAAAGCATCGGCGAATTCAGAGTTTTTCTGTCCGAAGCTAATTTTGTTCCAAAAGAGAAAATATCAGCGATATATGGTTAATTTTAATTAATACTATTTGGTCGGATTATTTCTGTCGAACAAAACCTTGAGAAATTGAAGAAAAATGGCAATTACTCGTTTAGTCTTATCGTCATATTAAAAGATTACAATATCACCTACATATCGTTAGTCTCTCTGTGCCTCTGTTTTCATTTATGAACGATCTCGGTTGCTTATAGGTTTTGGCATCGCAGGCATCATAGGTCGCCGAGTGTTAGGAAGATTACACGTCAACGGTTTAGGGCTATGAGAAACAATAAAGTCAGAAAAGAAAGATCGTTGTTTTGCTTGCAGAATGCAGGAATTGTCTGGACATGATTGAAATTAAGAAAAATATTTGGATGATTCTTTTTAGTGGATTTTTACTTGGAAGGTCGTGAATACGGGGCGTTGCGGTAGCGCGAGCTTGAGCCCGATGTCGTTGTCGTCTTGTACGATTTCCATGCGCGGCTCGATGATTCCTCTGCGAATTTCATGGAGTGATTCATTTGCATTATTTTTATTAAATTAGTCCACCACGACGATGTATATATGAAATATAAGATATTAATCGGATAGTTTCCTAACTAAACACTACGCGAAGCAGGAGCATTAATGTTATTTAAAATGTTTCAAAAAGAAAATGGTTGCGAATGAGCTGATGAATAATTCAGCTAATTACGTGAAGCCATTCCGTGTTTATTTAGTATTTGAATATTATAGGGATTCGATCTTTAAATTCGATCTTGAAAAAAAAATACAGCTTGATTTTAAGCAGTCGATGGAAATTAGTTTCAATCGATATTGTTAAATTTTTTATTCGTGTATTATTTTGTAATATGGAATTTCTAGATTTTTGTGAAACAATGAATCTTATTATTTCATTTAATTTGTTTGGCTTTTATTATGAGTAATGAAATTGTTATAAATCGTTCAAAAAATTAACAAGAAATAATTATTAATGTTTTTTAAACTTCTAAGAGTATTTAAATTTCTATTTAAAATTTTTATATTATCAAGCTTTTTATTTTGTTTGATTCAAAATATTTATTTTTATGAATAATAAATCAGAGGAACTTTTTCTATGTATAATTTAGATATTAGAATAGTTTAATCCCACTGCTATTATGTTAATTTTCAACATATTACATGCGTGTATGTTCATGATAATTTCTGTTTAATTACGTGTTAAAAATTTTTATGCTAAAAGAAAATATTAACGATGTAGAATGATAAGTATGTTACCTGGATATTCTGATGTTTCGTAGTAGTTGTGCGAAGAATGCGGAACAGTATCATCTTCGTACTCGTATGTTGCGTACCTCGAGGAAGGATACATATCATCTCTAAATGATGTATAAAAGTACAATACACATTAAGGAACTACATTTTTCCAAACTCGTGCAAACTTGTGCACATCTCAAAAGAAAATATAGAACTTCAAATGATTAATAAAAACAAAATTGATTAATGAAAAAACAAAAACATTAATTATTATATTATGGAAATAAGTAGAGCTTTAATGTGTACAGTTAACAAAAATAGTTTTCAAAACTTATTAAATTAAACGACATTATTCTAAACGAAAAATGACATCTCTTTAAATGCATTCGAGTCAATAAGTAAATTAAATTTCAAGATTTCAATAACACAGAAAGGAGGATTAAATGAAGATACGTCTTGAAAACGTCTTAAATAACCTACGTTTTTTTCACAGAGTATGTATGTCCCATAATAGTAATAGAAAGAAAACATTCCTGATCAAATAAGCACACGTGAATCAAGCTTGTGGGAGGCCAATCATATTGTGCAACAAGGAAATGTAATTATGTAAGATGACGAAAATTAAAATTATGATGGGTTTAACACAATGAAAGCAATCTCGAAAGCAAATAGCCGTGTGTACACAAGATTCAAAAATTTAATGTTTTAAAAGTGTTGGTTTTATGTTACTACAACTTTATGATTGGGATATACGATAGATTAAAAGTATTACGCGTGTGCATCTCTAATAATTCTTCTGTTTTAAATATTTAATTATTTTTTTTATTTTAAATATTTAAATCATTATTTTAGTGTTATATATACCTTTTCATAGTACCTGAGCTACTATGAAAAATAGCAGCCATAATGTTCGTAACCATAATATTCATTGATAAAATTTTATTATATATTTGAGATATTTACCTCATTAATTTGTATCAAGTGATACATTAAGAAATGAGATTGATAATGTAAATGTATAAAATGGAGATGGACTATTATGAATAAAAACATTTTAGAAGAATTAACCTTTTAGTAAAATTAATAAAAATTATCAATTATACTTACCCTGACGTCGATGAGTAATGCCGGTCTCCATATCGACTGCTACTGCCCGTTGATGTGTGATAATCGTAATCATGATGAGAACCAACACGGTTACTCGGAGGTGGAGTAGCAGTCTCATAGCTGTATGTGATATAGTATTATAAATTTGTAATCATATTCACTTAATTAAAATAATTAATTTAATTTAGAACTCACCCATAACTTTGATCCATTGCGACTCTTGCGCGATCTAAAATAGAGAACACTTTGCTTTTTGCTGAAACGGGACGTGAGATTGGTCCTCGACTCGAAGGCGGTGGAAGTATCGCCGCTGAAATGAAAAAAAGCTGAGAAACCATATCATATTTTGCAACTAATTTGTTTACCGTAACACTTGAAGGCAAACAAATAGCTGATGGTTGAAAAATATCACTAACCTCGCGAAGAGCGAGGCATTGTTGGTCTCGCGGTTGGCCTTAATATTCCACCACCACCTGGTACACCTCTAACGGATGGTCTTCTGTCATCAGTACTTGTTGGGTCGTCTGCCATACTCATTTCCATTTCGCGCATTTGTTCTTGACGTATGTTATCATTGTTGTCGGGAATAAGATATTTCCGAACTTCGGCTAATGCAAATGCAATACGAGCATAAGCCTCTGCCGGAGGTGCAAGCGCTGTTATTTCCACATGAAGATCGTCCGAAAGATGCGCGTATTTTGGATCCAAAGACATGCGATATTCTTCTTCCTAGAGAAAACAGAAGGTGAATTTTAGTAAAGTAGTAGATATATATATATTAATATATATAGTATTATAGTGTAATGTAGTACATTAATATATATATTAATAATAATTTCAAAAAGAAAAACTTCAGAACAAATTGCTAAGTCAAATGAAAATTCAAGAATTCAAGATTTAAGATTTTTAATGTGAAAATACTTTTTGGCGATCTTTCATGGATCCTCTTCCTAATACGGCCATTTTGCACATCGTTTCCTCTTGTAAACGTTTCATAGAATTACCTTTTGGTCCCAGTAATTTTCCAACAAAATTGAACTACAAATGAATTCAAGATATAATTTATCGGTCACGTATTTATTTAAATTATAACACCTGTAACATAGCATACCTTTGGATGTTCCCGGACGGGTACCAATACTTTGACCGAAACACGAATCGGTTTTTCACGATATATATCCACATATTTTGGATCTCTTACTGGTTTGCCAATGGCTTGAGTTTTTTGAATCTCTACAGAACAAAGCAATTATTCTTGATTCTATGACTATATGATAGTGATGATATATTTTTAAAAATAAATAACATCAAAAATGTATTTTTTAATTTATAATCAAGAAATTGCCAATATATATACACATTGTTAATATTCACTAATCTAAATTACAAATTAAACTGAAGAACGCTACAAATTTTAATAACAGATTATAAGATACATACATTAACTACAAGTCAACTCGTACATTTCATAAATTGTTAATGGTATATTTCCATTATCATGCTTAAAATCTCATAACACGCAATGTTAAAAAAAACTAATTTGTATATTTAAATGAAATAAGAATATATAAATAATTAATATTCACATTAATGACTCCTTAAACTAAATGCATCTGTATTATGTAAAATTTATTTACTACAAAAATACTTGATACTTAATTTTTATTCATTGTTTATCACATTAACAAATGTAACATAATTTGTCTATGAAGTGAGTAACATGTTACAAACAATATTAAATTAATAACGAATTAAATAATTGCGAATTATGCTCCGTTTATTCGATAGTCTAACCTTAAATATTTTATTCAATTCGATTTCAAACTAATAAAACCAACAAATACCGAATGACAAATAATTGTAATAACAAAAATAAACACAAATTGCAGAAAAATAAACACTACCATTAAAAATAATAAAAATGATAAAAAAACAATGAATACCGACAATAGAATAACAATCACATTTACCCTGATCAATTAATCTGGTTGCATTAGGCCATTTTTGCGAATCCAATTCAACTTTTTCCTGTAAAAGTTCCCGGACATATTCTCCGGCTTTGTCAACTTGATGTTCCTTTTCATCACGTTCCTTTGCGACAATGTTTAGCTTCGAATCGACAGTTTCTTCCCTTTGATACTTGTATTCACCATTACTTGGCCGGTCACTCATGATTATCACCGTTTTATCAGATACTTCGAGAAATACTGAATGAAAAAATAATAATTTCGTTAATTAATTAATCAAACGAAGTACAGATCACTCGCGTTCAACGCGTCGTTGGAGCAGAGTCGCAATGGCTGAACGCTGACTCTCCCACTAATCTAAAGGCGCATATTCATGTATGATTGTCTCTCAATTTAAAGAAAAAAAAAAAATCAAATATTTAATCATAATGCCAAAAATTTAATAATTTATATTACTAAAAAATGTTGTCAGAAATTTTATAATTATAAGGTCTACAAACTAATTTAGTAAATTATATAATAAAAGAATTCATTATAAAATAAAAGAAGGAAATAATTGTGCAAACAACACGAAAGATATTTTTTTGCAAAATATATCAAATAATTAAATAATAATCAAATAATTAAATAATAAAAAGTAATTTATTTCTTTTATTTCCCTAGCTTTTTAAAATAATTAAGGTTAATGTTTGAGAACATTAATGACTGATTTTATTAAATTAATAATTTAAGATCAAAAATATAAAGATTTACTGATTTTCTTCATGTATATTATATAAAATATTGTTTTAAAAAATGCTTAATATTAATTACTTATGGATATACATAGTAATTTGGTTTTGTATTAGCTACAGATGGCGAAAATATCGAAAACATCATAACCTCACAATATGTTTATTTATGTTTGATTTGTATTTCGTTTGTTAATTATGTATAAATGTTATAAAGTGAAATAATTAATTGTCTTACAATATGAGCTACATTGTAGTAATACGAAGTTATAAGCCGGGTGATGAAATTAATTGTAAAGAGTTAGTGAAAGCAGGCATAATGTCTTCTTTAAATTCAACGTTTTTTGGCATTGTATTTAAAGAATTGACTTTTCAATTAATGATATTGTTTGCCGCTATAATGTTTATTTTTTTTGGATTGCCTTTAACTGTTTGTGTTTTAGTTATTCCCCTTGTCATTTTTTTGGTATATGTTGGAACTTATATAGCTTTCACTGCGAAAACTATGGAAGTAAGTGAAGAAGTTTCTAATATACCAAGGTAAAATTTTTTTTTATTTACACATTTAATAATAATGCTAAAAAATCAATATTAAAATTATAATTTTTTTTCATAATTAAGATATGTTAATAAAATAGTCTAAAATTTATATTATAAAAACAAAGTTTAAATGAAAATAAATATCAACATAAAAGCTTCTTCATTTATTATGACAGGATTTACATGTCTAATGCCTTTTCATGCTTTTGGGTTGCTGAAGCATTTGAATCTTATCTAATGACACGTGATCCAAAGAATGTACAATATAACCTAATGACAGAACAACAGTTCCGTAATTCAAACATTGATATTTCATCTCAGGTTAAGAAAATTGTAGGAACTGTTGCCTTGTGTAAAAGCCATAGATTAGATAAAGGCGCATGGATCAAAAGGCTATATGTACATGAGCAATATAGAAGAAAAGGAATAGCTTCATGTCTTGTAAATGTTGCTGTGCAATTTGCTATTGATGAAGGTTATAGCTGTGCTAATCTTGTTGGCTCAGAATATACAGAAGCTGGGAGAGAACTGTGTCTTAAGAAAGGTTTTGAATTGCAACAAATGTATCATAAACCTATTTTGGGCTCGCTTATAACTGTGTTGATGTATGAATTGACATATCAGATTAAGCCTGGTGAAGATGATTATGTGCCTCCAGTTTACAGTAGATCAATGCTTAATAAATAAGCATCAAATCTAATATCCTTTTAAATATTGAATCAAATTCTGATTTTATAAGTCTGACAATGAATATAAAATTTCCCAAGTATATCTAATGATTGCATTTATAGTTTATTCTATTAAAATATTTACATTGTAAAGTTAGATACTGAAAATATAATTTTAGTAAAAAATGCATTATATACATTGGCATTTAACGTGTTACTGAATATGATATTAACAGTGTAATAACGTTATATGTAAAAAAATATATTTTTCTCACTTTTTTATTTGTTTCCAGTATGCCTGAAGTTCTTTGCCTTCCCAATTGTTTTCTGTTACTTTAGATAAATATCTGAAAGAACGCAAAGGATCATTTTACACTTGATCTTATTATAATATATAAGAAAGCTCCAATTTTTTTTTATCTTGAATTTTCAAATTTTGTGCATAAGTATAATCGAATTATTTTATATACTATCATTTACCATTGAGTTATTGTTTTGAGGTCAAATTGTTAAGTTTTATTTTAATTATTGGCAACTCACCAAATTCATATTAACTTGGAGTATAATAGGAAAGCCTAGAAACTTATGTATCATAAAAATGTAGTAGATAGGATGTTATCCTATATCAGATCACTTTAAAAGTCTTTGATAACGGGAACTATTAACATACAGAACACAATGAATATTTTCTTAAATATGCAAACTTTACATAAAATAATAATCTACATAAACAATAATATTCTACATTAAAAAAAATTGAAAAATTTTGTATAGTGTTCATAGAACGATAGGGCAAGAAATTTAATTTAAATTTTAATGTATAATATTGCCCTATTCATAGAATGAGTCACCAATTAAAAGTATTAATTGATTTCATAGCATGCAAAATATATTTAAAATTTTTATTACTACTATATTGTATCTTCTCTGAAATAAAAATTTTATGTATTCTATATTTGTTTTCATAATTCGTTTCGATAATTAGATTTAGATTAAAAAACCTTTATTATTATTAAATTACTTAATAACAATAAAATAATTATTAACTAGTAATTGGTAACTACGAATTTTAATAGTATACTTACTTTTCTTGAATTTCTTGAAGTATATTCTTCTCCTTGTCAGTGATACCATTTTTGACAACATCGAGATTCATATGTAATTCTTTCAAATTTTGCATTCCAACTAAATACGTGGCAATATCTTTACATTGTGTAGAATACCATAGTGCTAATTTAGCTAATTCTACATCATAATCCTGCAAAAATAAGTTCCCATTGTTTTATAAATAAAGTAGTTTACTTGAAAGATAATTTATATTGTATACAGATTAAAAATTTTTTACCTTACAACACACAGCAGCATTTGTACATATTTTCTTTGTTTGTTCTGAACTGGGATGCCAAGCTGGTGGACCTTTATTAGTTAAAAGTCCCATACACTGCGCAGAAGCATTAATTATACCAATATTATGTTCCTAAAAACCATGACATTTGTTTAATTCCTTAATAGATATTACTTTTAAAAGTACAGATATTTATTAAATACTACCTTAAAAAATGGTATATATTCAGATAAAGTGTTATCTATTAATGTATGTCTTGCATAGCTTAGTATGCAAGAAATTTTAATATTACTTTTCTCGATACATTCCTTTAAAATGGATACCGGATATCCGGTGATACCAATGTATTTTGCATTGCCATCCGCAATTTGCCTTGATAGTTCTGGTAGTGTTTGCGTGATTACTATATCCAAACTTGGAGCAAATTCGATGTCGTGAACCTGTAAAAAATGTTACGAATTGATAAATAAATTACATTATGAAAAATTAATTGTACTCACTTGTATGATGTCAACATAATCCAAACCTAAAAGTTCTAAACTATTGAGAAAACTATTTCTAGTTTTCTCTTTGGAAAAATTAAACATATTTTCGTAATTTAATTCATATCGTCCGACTTTTGTCGCGATATAATATGCTTTACGTGGAATGCCTTTCAAAGCCTAGAATTAAATAATTAAAGCATTTGAAAAAAATTTTTCTCATGTATATATATTGTAAAGCGCAAAGAAATAGATATAGAATTACTTTTCCAATGATAGTTTCGGATCGACCTTGGCCATACCATGGCGCGGTATCAATATAATTAATTCCTTGTCGTATTCCTTGACGTATCGCGTTAATTGCTTCATTTTCGTCATATGTACTATCATCATATTAGCATATAAAAGTATATAAATTATGATAATTTTAAACGCTGAAGATATCTTTGTAAACATATTGTTTTCAAAATTCCTTCATCAAACATAGATTAATTTTATTTAAATCTTAAATAAAAATACTAACCCATAGTGGCAACCAAATGGTCCGCCACCAAGTGATAATTTGCTGACCATTAATCCAGTTTTGCCAAGAGGTCTATATTCCATAGTTTCAACAGCTTCCAAATCGTGAAAACCTTCGACATACGTCGGTGGTAACATTTTTCTAAATATTAATTAAGGTATAAATGTCAAGATATTAGCGATATTTACTTATCCAAAATGTTATATTCAATTGAGTTAATTATTTTAATTAATATATTTAAAAATAATAAATAAAATATTATATTGTGTTTTAGAAATAAATGTTGAAATAAAATGAAATGAAAATAAAAATATAAAACAATGGGAATAAAAAGAGTTTTATATTAGAAGCGAAGCTGGTTGTATTGTATGATTATTGATGAGTGCAAGGCCATTAATGCTCTTCTATAAATCACTTTATTAACTACATATAAATTGTCTTTATTGTACAGATTAAAATTTTTTTCATACTTAAAAAAACTTTTAAAATTTTCTAACTCGTCTTTGAAATAAATATACATATATATTTATTTTTAAAATTCTATCGCAAAAATTGCATCACAGATAGTCGTGAACATATTGAATTTCATAAATAATTTTTAAATACTAACGTGTAAGATGATTTACATTCAACACTAGAAGTACATTGGGTTATTTTTACACCAGACTGTAAGAAACACTTTAATAAACACATTATTCATATGTCTGTCAATTATAAGTATCTTTCAAGTTTGCGTTCAAGGGCTAACACACTTTGAATAAAGTACATGCACTTTCTACGGAAATAAATAGAATGTAAAAGATTCTGATACTTTTTAAGATAATATTATCATCATTTGAACGTGCGATAAATAGAAGCAGTTACAAATAAATTGTATTAACGCGTATAGCATGCGAATCTCTTATGTGATATGAGATATTACGTACGTATATATTATATATTGTTACTATATACGACTGTAATTCATCTACACATTTAAAAGTGAAACATTGAAGAAAGAATAAAGTCTGTTCCGTTTGAACAATGTTAAAAATGTATCTTCTTTAATAATTCACGAAAGTTGGAAGTGAACAGCAAAGTGATAAGAGTAAGACTGATTGAAAACATATCCACATTCTGAGCATTAAGCGTATTTAGTAGTGCCATCTTTTGAAGTCAGATGAATATTATTTTTGCGACATTTCATCAAGGTGAAATACACATGAGGTACATGCCAATTGAAGTCTCGTCACAGGCGAGGTATACGAATGGACCTCACATACAATCATTGACTAACAGATCTAATCATCTATCATTAGTCAATATTCATATTAAAGAAATTATTAATTATTTTAATAATTTACATCAATAATTTATATTTCTTAGATATATATTTCGAAGATGATTATGTTCACAAACAACTTTGATTCAAATATTCAATGTAGTTTGCGAGAAATTGAATATTACTTGAAAAAGAGTTTTGATATGTTAAGTAAAATTTGAAAATTTTTATTTCTGAAATGTGACTGAAATAAAAAATGGAAGCTAGCTACGTTTTAAATAAAAAAAACAACGCAATTTCAAAAGTTGACAAATTATTCCTCTTTGATTAACGTTTTTTCGAAAATAGCACAAATTGTTTTGGTTTGGCACTGGCGCCATCTGTTGGCCAGTCAGTGATACTAATAATTTTTGAAAATTTTTATTTTTGCATTTTACGCTGCAAATCTGGTCCAGAAAGAAAGCTGATGGTCCAGTTAACTTGAGAGAAAATTACAAAAGTGTGTAATTTATTTCACTAGACTACTCTTTGTTGCGAATGAAAATTTATCTTCTTTATGGGGTAACAAACACTAGCGCCGCGTTATGAAATGGACGAACTAAACGCCTTATATCACATTAAAGAAAATAATTAGTTTTAATTATTTATACCAATAATTTGCATTTACGTATATATTTCGAAGATGATATTACAGATTACGTTCACAATTTCAGTCTCGTCTTTTGTCCCTTTCGTAAAGAATTTTATGGGTCGTCATGTTACCGATGATCGGTAAATCAAAATTGGCGCCAAATCTATGGTGGGGGAGCTGTACGCAATATGGCTGTCGCCGGGTTAGTGTTTGAAAGTGCGTCGTGGAAACGTTGATCAAATTTTTGAAGTGAGAAAGAGAAAATATCCTCCGTTGCTGTGGATTTTCACATAAACAACACAAGGTAAGTGTTGTTCTTCATAATACGTATCTCTTTCTCGAGTGTACGCTTATACAGAGGAAAGTTGCACGCCCGCGTTATGCAATATTAATACGCTTGTAAACGTAATGGCGAGATAAAACGTAGCCAAACGGACGAACTTATTACTTTGAAAGCCTGTAAATTGCATCGGGAATTGCGGGAGTAGTAACGAAGGGAATTCCTGGATTTTTATGCCACTACTAAATAATAAAATTAGTACGCTGTTAACAGTACGCCGTGCACCGGCGGTTAAAGCTAATTTAATGATTTTCGTTATTGGCTCGAGCATCGTAAAGCTATCAGAGCCCATCTGTTGCCCGCGTAGATTTTAATATCGCTCCACTCATTTGTACCGTCTGAATCGAATCGGATCGCCTGGCTACGTTTCCAACGCCGTTTTCAACGTTTTCAATTCCCCGACGATTTTATAACTCTTTCGCCATTGTGGAATGACTCTTGTCAATTTATCGGTATTCTATACTTGTGGAATTCCGTATTAACCTCTTGCGCTGGAATGACGTGCCACGCACGTCGAGAACTTTTTGTCCCAAAATTGCAACATTTTCTCAATTTTAAGTATATTTAAATGTAACCCAGGCAAAACAAATGATAAATCTATTACTTTTCAATAATTTCTATCCAATAACATCATACTGACGAGTTCAAAAAGAAAGCGACGAATCATTGTATACGGTTTGGTCACTCTTTACGGTCCGCAATCAGTTGCCAGCGCAAGTGGTTAACCTCTGCCACGCACGTCGGCAACTTTTTGTCCCAAATTGCAACAGTTTCTCAGTTTTAAGTATATTTAAATGTAACCCAGGTGAAACAAATGTTAAATCTATTACTTTTCAATAATTTCTATCCGATGACCATACTGACCAGTTCAAAAAGAAAGCGACGAGTTATTGTATACATAAAATATATAAATTTGCGCAAATAATTTAATAATGTAATAATTTATAGAAAATGGAAAAATATATGAAATATCCAAATACATTTTAATTAATACTCCTACTTCTCGAATTATAATTTGAGTTTAAAGCTTTTTGTTTTGTACAACAAAGTCAGGTGTGTGCATCTGGGTCGCTCCGATCTTAATTTTTGGTATATAAGAGTAACAGGAATCTGCAATTAGACTTTCGAATAACGAGTCAATTGTCCGCGAATGTCGTCAGTCTTGACTGGCAGCGAGTGGAAAAGGATAGAAGTCGCGCGTCCGAAGGACCGCGTCGAAATCGAAGGGTATAGTTAAAGTCACTGTTAAAGTGACATGATCGAACGCAACGCTTTACGAAAGATATTCGTGACAGCGTTCCGGTTTCAACAGCGTCGTGTTCGAGACCAAGTTGAAGGGAGTATATCGAGTTACCGGGGTTGTTCAATAATTTCGTTGGGTATCACGAAGGAACAACGAGACGAGTATTGGCCTTCCGTCGTGTCACTGCTAGCTTTTTCTTACTCATCCGCCTTTCTTCATCTCCTTCGCCTCCGAGGGAACGAAGAGAGAGCATAGAGGAGTCAGCTGGCTGGAAGGGTGAAAAAGAAGGAAAAGAAAAAGAGAAAGAGAGAGACAAGCGACAGTGGCTCGTTTATTAATAAACGAAAAAAAGAGGAGGATAAAGGGTGAACAGAGCGAGGGATTGGCGTCGGGGGATGAGAGCGGCGGTTGAGCAGAGGCCAGGATGAAAAGGAGCGAAGTGGTAGGGCGGCGCGTGACGCGGGGTTTAAGGAAGCCGCCGAATATATACGCGCGGCAGCCGATCGTTCGCCAGCCGCTTTAACAATTCGCGACGCGTCCGCGTTAACAGCGTTACGACAACAAGCTCGAGTTGTAGAAACTTATAACGAGAAAATAATGAACCCGGTTCACCAAGTCTGCTTGGAATGCGAGCCCCGGTGTACACCCAACCTCTCGCAAGTAGCTGTCCTGGCTCTCTCGCTCGTTTCACCGTTTCCCGGTTTAACCACCTTTTCGATTTTCCACCGCCATTTCCCATGGCCTTGCTCTCTCTCTCTCTCTCTCTCTCTCTCTCTCTCTCTCTCTCTCTCTCTCTCTCTCTCTCTCTCTCTCTCTCGCTCAGTCTCCGGTTCTATTCTAATTTTAGTCTTCGTTTCCATTGCACGATCCACCTCTGTCGTCCGCTTTGTTCGCTTCATATTTTCGTTTTACCGATCACCCACACCTGCTCGTTTTCTTTTGCTTTCTCGCGTAGCCCTTACTTTTCTCGTCGTCCTGATCTCGTTGTTCGGCCAGTTCTTTCTGCTTCTCCGCCTTCTTCGCTGTTTTTTCTTCTCTCTCTCTCTCTCTCTCTCTCTTTTTTTTTCCTGCTTTGGCTCGTCTTCCCTCTCTCGCAAAGGAATATTTGAATATTGAGGATTTCACGACGAAGGAAGGAAGGAAGCCGAGGAAAGGAAAACGGGGCACGGTACGCGGCGAACCCGAGAACGGCGTTTGTATTGAACGGGAAGAAGGGCGAATCGAGCGTGGAATTTCTCGGTGGAATCCTACAGCTCCCGAACGAAGCGAAGACAGAAAAGACTGATGTCCTGTATCGCGTCCTGAAGCGTCCTCCCCGGCCGATTGGAGGAGGAGGATGACGGCGAAAAAAAGGGGAAGAGGAGGGGGAAAAGCAAGGAGCAGGATGCCGTTGGTATCCGGAATGGATTACGGAATCGGGATGGAATAGCGGACCGGAAAGTCCTTGTCTATTCCGGCGCGACACCTCATCATTCCGCCACGTTCGCCGAGGTATCCTTTCGATGTACACCGTGTTTCGATCTTTCCCCGAGGCGTGTACGGTGATTTAAGTCACTGTTTACGTTTTCGTGTTCTTTTCGCAGCCCTCCTTCCCGGCCAGGGACCGCGCGGAAATTCGTATTCCCCTCCGATCTGCTTTCTATATCTCTCGTACGTAAATCCAACCTAGTATTAGATCAAACATCGCCAGCTTATCGAAAATCGAACGAGGAACGATCGAATTCTGTCGCACAGTAAAAGCAACGTAATTCTGTTTGCGAGTTTCCTCGATTCGGAAACTTTAAAAGTTGCAGATTTTGCACGTTATTTTCAAATTTCGGTGTACCGTTAGATATCGGAGTAAAATCCATTTTAGAAAGTTCGAAAATAATTGTGCAGCACAATTACTGTTGTTGAAAAGTAGAGAAAACAGTTCGATCACTTGATCCTTTCACTTTATGTAATTCTTCAAGCCTCCTCCTTGCGAAATGTATTAAATTTTCAATGACTTTAAATTTCAAATGAAATATCTCTCGAACTTTCTTTGTTAATTGGTAGATTAGATGTGAAGATGTGTACTTGCAACTTGTAATTCTTAGACTGCGAGTTTTTGAGGAAATAATTTAAAAAAAAAAAAGAATAAAATCATCATGGAAAATTACGAAAATTTTTTTACGATTGTTATCCTAGTATGCATGCATCAACGTAGAATTTTGGAGATCGAGGGAAAATGTGACACTGACGAAAATTCTCGAATATCAAGTGCGTTGTGGAAAAATGAAATACTCGTCGTTGCGATGTATTTCAATTAAAAGATTCTCCTGGTTTCTTTGGACTGATTACGGCACGCGATGCATATTAGACGAGGCAACGAGAAAGAACTGGTACGTTAACTGAAACGCGAGATCAGATGTGTCTCACGATAGGCGCAAAAGCGAAATGC